GCTATCTTGTACCAAATTTCATGATTTATGGTATTATTTAAATATCGTTGCTGAACATTCGACCGGCGCGGATGATGTACGGCCGTGGCGTGTGGTTTCGCGACGCGAAAGCCATAACGCCGGTGCCGCTATCGGAAAGTCGATAAATGGTGTCAATGTCGTAAGTTACGTGTAACTGCTCGCTCGCAGGTAAGGGGGAGTTTAGTGATTCGGGAGTAATTGCGATGCCGGGCGATGATTCGCGTGGGAATGCAACAGGGCACGGTGTTCGATAAGCTCCGCGGAACAATAACAATTAAACCGGCTAACTCGTAATGCCAAAATACAATATAAGCACGAACAATGCTGCGCCCGCCGGCGGGGAGGGGGCGAGCAGTCGTCCGACAATGCTCGCCGTGCTTTCGTTAGACAAAGGCGAGACTCACGGAGCTTCCTCCCGGGCGGAGAGATCGTAAGTCGAGGAAGAGCTTAAGCCGGTCGCGTCTTACTATACGCCGCGGTCGTTTCAGCTGCGCGGGCGCGCGCGCGCGCGCGCGAGGAGAAGATCGTAGAATTTAATTAAAATCCACCCGACCGCGCTCTCGAAACTTTACGTTTCGAGAAAATGTTGCCGGGGCCGACGAGCTCCGCCGTGATTTACGAGCGCATTTCGCTTTTTCATTATACAATAATTATCAATGCGCGATTATTGATACAATTATTTGACAAGCTAATAACGTAGCGTATGTGTGTATCTCTGCCGCGCTGGTTATTAATTAATTATTGCGATGCATTAACTGTATTATGTTGATGACAATCGCGCTGCCAAAGCCGATTTTCGCCGCCCGAAAGTTTTACCGCAAAATATGGCCAAATTACCGGCTTATTTTCATCCGTGCGTGCGGGCGCCGGGCACACGTATACGGACATAATTTCTTCATCCGTTTTGGCGTGTCCCGCCTCGGCTCATCCGGCGTCTCGCGCACGAGCAACACTTTAAATTAATCGCGAGCGGCACCGCGCCGACGAATTGGCGGTCGAAACGCGGCCGGCAATAAATCTCGAAACTGCGCGACGCACAAAGTGCGTCATCGGCTTTAAACAGCGTGTGTGCACGCGGGCGAGAGATGCCCGATGGGACGGTATAAATTTCATATTTTTTATCCACGCGTTTCCGATCGCCGTGAGATATTATAGCCGAGAATCACGCTGGGGAAACAGACGGAAGAGCCCGGCCCCGTTAGTGCTCCGTTTGCACGATGGGCTTTTCTAATTTTGTTAAGGGAATGCTGGAGTGATTCTGCACCTTTTGGCACTTTTTGCTCCTAGAACTGTCAATTCGTGAAAACATTTTTGCAATATGTGTGGCTTTTGTGTACGAACCGACAGTGTTCCGCTATTCGGACTAAATCTATTCATTCGAATAAGTTATAGGTAAACTATAACTTATTCGAGTGAATAGACTTCTTGTTAAGCTCCTAAACTTAATTTCAATGATACCATGCTGTTCTTTCACTTAATCTGAGTAGTGGGACACTGTCGGTCTGTACACAAAAGCCACACCATTTGTATATTACACAAATGTTTTCACGAATTGACAGCTCTAGGAGCAAGAGGTGCCAAAAGTGTAGAATCACTCCAGCATCCCCTTAAGCGCGTTTCGACTCGCCCGCAGACTCCTAGTATTGCCTGAGAAAACACCGCCTGATAATGATATCGTCGCAGATGAAGCGTGATTACATTAGCAAGAATAATTCCGCGTCACCGTGGAAAAATACTTGAGAATCGCCCGATATCTTAAGCTTCCCTGTCACGGGTTACTTGGAAACATTCACGTCTCGTGCGTTGAAACATCGATGTGGAAATTTGAATTTTTTCCACCTAATCCTGTCGTAGCTAGTTTCACGTGGCGTCGCGATAAACGCGAACATCGACGGTCCTCAAAGTGCCGGGTACCTTCTGATATTTTCTTCGTTTAATGATAAATAAATTGGAATGGTCGCCTGCGAGACGGTAGTATCAAGAAAATTAGCATATAAATTGAAATTTTCACGTAATTATCATAGAATTATCGCGCGAGTTTATCGCGGGACGGATATTAACGGGAACCCTACGTTACGGAAACGGTACGTCGCACGTTAAGTTTAGGAGGATTAAATTTTCATACCTGAGCCCGCGCGCGGCTATTACGAACGATTCGTCCAATCCGGGGGCCTTCATTATCGTCGCGTTCGCACGTTCGCTCGTCAATGAGTAATCCGCGCCTCCGTATCGCGATACAAACTCCGGGCGGCCTCCTCGGGCGAGGGGGAGGGAAGGGCGAAAGAAACCGGACGGTCTCGCCCTCATCGAGTTCTCGAGGCACGGGCTTCCACCTCCGGGAGCGTATGATTAAACAACTCGGGTGTTTTATGCTCGGCTCGCGGTGATCGCGTGACCCAACGGCCACATCCGTTTCCGCCTTTGCGTACGGTCAACCTCTTCGACCCCTGACCAATGGTTCGCCTTAAGGGTGCGCGTTACCATCGACCGCGGAAAGAAAGTATACTTTCCGCCGACGTATCTTTAAGCCGTAATCGGCTTCGCTCGATAGTCACGCGTCGACGAGCTCTCTCTCTCTCCCCCTTTCTCTCTCACTTTGTGTGTCTCTCTCTCTGTCTCTTCGCGACGGGAGAGCTGTTAACTTTTACCTCGCCGACGACGACTTTGTTCCCGCGCGCGGTAAGGACATCCGGTTCGGATTTTAGATCCGTTTTACGCCGCGCGAGATTTGTGGCTTTCAGCTTGAAAGACTATTGCTGACGTTTACGCAATAGTGTTGGTTTTATATATTTCGTATATACATAATTCGATATATTTTTTTATACTTGTCGTTATATATTTTATGAGTGGCCTATTAACCCATGGGAACGCAAACGTGTACAAAACTTGCGCGCTCTCCCTCCAGCGCTCTGACGTGCGCTCCCGATGTTTCGGTCTCGTGGCTCGAATCAATTCGGACTAGACAGCCGTAGGGTGCAAGAAAGGTCGGGCAAATGTCGGGGAGTGACATTAAATGCCGAAATGCCATCGACCCCGTGAAATGGCATAAAGAGGCGATCCCGTCGTTTCCTTTTCCAACCTGACGTAACTTCACATCAATTTCGGTATTTAATCGATCTACAAAATTCTTCTCAAGCGCGCTGTGCATAAAGGCAGTGGCAAATTCGCCGAAAATGTATAACGATCCAGAGAAGGCAGATAAAGCAATGTAGAATAAAATGATAATTTAGTTAAATCTACTCCCGTGCACAGAACGTGTATGCAAGTCTCAGAGAGAAAGGCAATAACAAATGGAAGTGAAAACAAAAAGCGATATATTGATTACAAAAAAAGAGAGAAATGGTACAAAATAAATGTGTACAATTAAGTTGATTTAACTAAGATAATGAAATAGCTATTAAGAGATACAATACATCTAAAAAGGCGGAGAGAGAATGCAATTATAATCGTTTAAATGGAGTTTAATCATTTCGGCGTTGGGGGCCGGCGCGTCGTCATTGAATTAAATAATTGCATTGCGCCCTTTTAAAAGAAAATGTAAAAATCGAACTCCCACCCCCCCCTCCCCATGTGCCTTTTATTCGTCCTGTTGTACGAGCGGCTTTTTATGAGTTTAATTTGAATAAATAAAATATTAATATGCCGACTAAAAAGATTAATTTGGCGCGCGCCCCCCCCCCTCCCCTAAAGTTAATCAACACATACGTAAAGCGGACGCTTTTGGTAACTAGCCGAGCCAAAGGGTTGTTAGCACCGAATGGTTCAACTGTTTTGGACAACCAAAGACACGGGGGTATAATTAATTCGGCCATTCGGCTTTATCGCCGCGCTATTATGCTCGGACGTATCTCTCGCCGGGAATATTCGGCTCTGCTCTCTCTCCCTCCGGATTCGTGAGTTTTCCGAGAAATTAGTCGGCATGATTTGCATCTGACGTGCACCTCGAGGCACCCACACGTCGCTCGCATAGTTCGCAACTTTGACTTTCCCCTAGCCCTCCCCCCCTCTCTCTCTCTCTCTCTCTCTCTCTCCCTCTTTCTCTTTGCACCCCTCGCGAATGTCTCCGAATGCCTTCGCATCCACGTCGGGAGCTCTCGCGTCAATTATGCTCGTCAAGAGAGGAAACGTCGAGCGGATTCTTCTCGCTCTACGGCATCGATCCTCCGCGAAAGTCTCGAGTTAGGGGAGCGAACCAACGTTTACGTCGTCCGTAATGCAGACCGGGAGACGGTAGTCGCGAAAACAGCGACGTCCAATTTTACCGAAAGCGAGTGACTCATTATAGGTGACGTTAGACATCCGTGTGTTTATTTTAGAAAATTTTTCAAAGTTTTCGCTCGAACGGTTCCAGCGATCGCGACTCTTTGGCGGAATTCTGATAAAGTTGTACGAAAAGAACTCGAAAGGCACGACGGGAGGCGGTTGTTTGATGAAGATAGGAGTAGAGATTGGAGAAGAGCTGTCCTCCTCGCGGTTGGTGCTCTCAGCGAAAGCGTAACGCGCGGGCTCTCGAGCCTTCGCGCACCGATTATCTCCATTCGGCAGATCCGCCGAGGCGTCTCGACTCGAGTCCCGAGCTTTCGAACGAGCCTCGGCTTAACTCGGTTGTTGTGAATAAGTAAGCGAAGTGTTGCGAAGTGCTGCAGAAGTTAGCAAACCCCCGGGCGCGCGCGGCTGGGGTGGCTCGAATTAAATTGTTATACGGATGAGCTGCCACGAGGAATACTCGAGCAAGCGACTTTGCCGACGTCGGCGCCGCCGGGTGTGAATGTTTAATTACCGGCTTTCATTATTGTTAATAAAATAATAGGCGCCGCCGGAGGGGGCCCCGCGGAAGCGAGACCGCACTTCGGCGCGTTTCCCAGAGTCCCGCCGATTACGATTCTAACGCGGCTTCGATCCCAACGCCGGTTTACTCGCCGTAAATTTCAACGGAGGATCCTCTCCGCGAGGAAGAAACCGTGTTGTCGTTCACGTACCTGTGATTGCACTGTTGACAAGCGAAGCACTCCAAGTGGTAGACGTTGGTCCTCGCGCGCATCACCATCTCGAAGGCTGGAATAACTTTGCTGCACGCCGCACAGTGGCCGGTATTTCCGAAGAGTCTGTCGAAACCAGGGAAAAAGAAACACGATACGTTATTATATTCTCTGAGGAAGAAAAACGACAGCAATCCATTTTCGGATCCACATTTAGTAATCGAATTATTTGGATTGTTCGTAACTCTACTCTGGGAAAAATTTTAATAGTTTTTTTGGAGTAATTAAGCAACTTAACGTTTCGGTTAGTGCCTCTTAAGTAAAAATTATCTTTGCGTTACTGAATGACGACAGAACTAATTGAGAGAATTGATTAGGATTACTTTGAAAGCTTGGATATAGATGGAATAGCTAATTGCGATTTTTAGTTACGCGGGGTAAAATTCGTAAAAGATTAGACTTACAAACAATCCAAATAATTCGATTACTAATTGTGGGCCCCAAAATGGGTTGCTGTCTTTTTTCCCCCAGAGTCGCTATTCTATGTAATATACTGAGAAAAAAAGCGTTGACTCGATAAAATGATTCTTGATTTAACCGTATGCCGCGGCCACGAGCTGTCAAGCAAATATTCGTTAATTCATAAACATTTGTTAATTTGTAAAAAATATATGTTTCGATAAATTGTGTATGTGTAATCGAAAAACGTATACACGGGGAGAGAATTTTCTCTTAAAATTTACCCCGAAAATCGTGTAATTGTGGGACAATATGGCACTTTGAACGACTTTATGAGTTTTTTTTTAATAAGATGCTATTTGAATAAGATGAATAAGAATGAAAAGTATATATTTTAATATATAATAAAATTCCTCGAAACGCCGCGTTGTCCCACAATTATAATTTTCAGGATAAACTTTAAGAGAAAATTCTCCCCGTGTATTTGAACTAAAAACTGCCAACTAAATGTTTTTTTAATAACAACCATTTTCTTTCTCAGTGCATATCAAGTTATTATGTCGTTAATTTTTTTTTCTGTTGACTCCTCGAATTAAGATTCGCGATATCCTTGTGTGATCGCGCAATTAAACGTCGCCGTACCACGTGGTCGAAATCGAAAAGATCAAAGGACCGACGGAGAGTGGGCATACTAGTTTTACATACGGTCGGACTTTCGTCACGACGCAAGAAACCAGTCGTTCGTTCGACGAGGCGAGAGAGCGAGAGCGGAAAGCAATAAGCTCACGGGCACCGCGAATATGCCGTCTTCAAATATTGGGCCATTAATAAAGGCCACAATGTTTCGACGGTGCGTGCTCCCCGTGCGGACGCGCCACCTGCGCGCATTCCCTCGGGACTCCGTAATCTCAACACGGTTTATTTGCTCTCGCTTGTGTTTATATGGGACGTGGGTGTATTCAATAAGGGAAATTCATCTGTAAAATTCGATTTGTCGCCGCCGCTCGCCTCGATTTCGTCTCCCCTCCGCAATCGCGTCTTTCGCCAATCGCCTTTGTCAATCTGCCTGTCTGTTTGCCGACTTGGTCGACACGAGGTGCGCGACACCGCGAGAGTCTTGCCGAGAGATTTTTCCGAGAAATGGATCGTACGGTTAAATTGCCCGTTCGTTTACCGTAGATAATCTCTTTTGCAGAGAATGAGATTAGCCTTGGTGTAGAGCGTCGAGCCGACCTCGCCAAGCCTGCAGTCGCAACATCCACATTTCAGGCAGTCTTCGTGCCAGTACATGTCCAACGCTTTCAGGAGATATCTGTTTAGAAAGAGTTGTTATCTGATAGCATCTGAATAGAAAATACGAGGCGTGTTTATGAAATTTATACAGGCTTTTTGTAAGTTTACTATACATATACCAAATTGAAGTTTCTCTTCTCTCCGGACACATTCTTTAATGTGTTTCAATTACGACGGATTATTAGTGCAATAACAACACACTGAAAATTATGACTTTAATAGTTGGTTTGTCGGCAAAGTTCCTTATATGATAATTTAGAAATTGAATGTGCAGTTTGCTTATATTCGTTATTTTGAGCACGTATTATTACAAAGTTCCCCGTTTTTAATTACAACTACGCGTTTCACTCAAGTATCAAGTTGCGAATTTTGGACAACGCGGCTCGCCTCTAGTTAGAAAAAAATTATTTAACCCAGTTCGTACGTCTGTCGGCCTCCGGGGGATAGGCGGACGTTAAACGAGCCGTCCTTACGGTTTTCCCAGGGCAGGATGTGAAACATACACGTAGCGTTGCGTCACGCAAACGAAGCGGAACACTTACCTCTCCGTAATCGTCTTTCCGCAACCCGCGCATTCCTGTTGAGTGGCCCCGTTTTTGCCCGGCTCGCTTTTGCTCCCATCCATAGTCATTTTATCGCCTGCAACATGGCACAGAAAAAAACGTAGGCTTAATCGTTATTGTAGAAACTGTCGTACGTTACGTTTGCCGTATAATAAAATTTACGCCGAAACGCGCTAAAAGCGCGATATCTCGTTGTGATATTGCATTCATTTTTGGTACATTGTTTTCGCCCTCTGACATTCGGTAAACATTGATTATCATTTCTTTATTACAAAAGCCGCTCCTTAAACTTTGTGTCCACGATCCAAGAACTGTGTCCAACTTCCAGTTCTGAGAAATGTGTACCCAATCAACTTGCAGCGTTCATAGAATAGCTGCAAGTTGATTGGCTACACATTTCTTGGAAGTAGAACTCGAACCAAGTTCTAGCATCGTGGACGCAGGCCTTTTAAGCCTTGTGTCCACGATCCAAGAACTGTGTCCAAGTTCTAGCATCATGGACACAGGCCTTTTAAGCCTTGTGTCCACGATCCAAGAACTGCGTCTAGTTCCGAGCTTTTCCGTGAAAGATGCAAGCTGATTGGCTACACATTTGTGGGAACTAGATTGGATATAGTTTTTGGATCGTGGACACGAGGCTTTACGTCACTTAGATCCGGAAGCCGCAACGGTCGGATCGGCTTCCAGCGACAGTTGCCGGCGCGTTCAGGATCGAATGAGTAATCGCGTTCGCGTGCTTTTAACAAGTTTCGCCGGCATCTGGCACTAGAATGTCGGCTTGTCTATGAGTAATTAGAGTTACGGCTTGAGAATTTAACGGCGCGGTTTAGTGCCATCTGTGTCCACCCCGTTCGGCCCGTTCGGGCGTGTAGCCTTTCTCATCCCCCGCGGATCCCTCCCGCATCGGAGCGTCCCGTTCCACGGTCTCTTTCTCGCGATGTGGTCAGAGTTTAGAATCGAATTAGTTTGACCCGCACCCACACTCCCACCCCCTTCCTCCACTTATTGCGCGTTTAAGCACCGCCGGCTCCGAAACAACCCAACGACTCGGGCGGACGACCGCTGGCCGTGCTCTGGATAAACATTAGGTATCCCTCTGAAGAGCCACGATGTCCTTTTAAGCGCATAAGAATGGCGTAGCGCTGGCGGAGAGACCGGGCGGAAAAAGAACAGCGCGACGCCGAGTCGACGGGAATGCACGACTTTCCCCGTGATCTTTGCTTAAAGCTTGTGTCCACTATGCTAGAACTTGGCCCAAATTCTAGTTTCGAGAAACGCGCAGCTATACCATAAAAGCTGCAAGCTGATTGGCTATACATTTTGCGGAACTAGAACTTGGAGCAAGTTCTAGCATCGCGGACGCAGGCCTCTACTCCGGCGAGAACGCTTTTTGGAAGATGTGACTTCTTTACATACAGACGTACGTTAGACAAACAGCAAGACGGTCGTTGGACCGCCCGGTCCTGGACGCGGTTAACGTCGTCGCGTATTGACAGGTCGGCCTTTTTCCCCCACAGACGATGTCCACCTCGGGCGCACTACGCCAAGTTCGATCTCAGCCACCCGGTATATTTACGAGCTCATATCCGCGGATGCTATGAGCGAAGTTTGTGCGGTTTCAATATGTCCTTCCCTCCTCGCCCCCTTAACATGGACACAATATTACGCGGGTTAATATCTTCCGTGCGGTCGGGGACTTCGGGGCAAATATTAATACAATGCCTTTGATCCGTTAATTATTAACGGCGACGGGGATGAAAAATCCGTGTATCGCCTTGGCGGAACGCGAAAATTGCCGGGGACATAAAACCAGATGCCGGATGATGCCCCCGTTTTCCGATGCGCTTCTAATTAAACGCCTTTGTATCGCGGATAAGCGGACAGGATACCCGCATACGCGCGGAACGCCCGTGTGTGCGCGTGCGGTTTTTTTTTGCGCGCGCGACGGAGGCAGCACGCGGCGGCGCGGCGGGAAGTTTTCGTCCACGGCAACGCGAGAGACGCCTCCGTGCACACCGAGGCACCTCGGTTACAATCGCGTACGCGAGGGCGAGTTAATTAATCGAGTTGAATCGATTACACGCTTTACCTCCGCCCGCGGGTTACCGATAAATTGAATACGTTATAAATAATAGTACGATTGTTATTCGCGGGCGTGCACACACCTACCCGGGGTAATGATTAATGGAATAACTAACTAGCGGGGTAAATTATGCAAACTATTAAATCCGCCCGCATATAAACTTTCCCACATAATAATCGCTAGGCGATATCGATTGGTTCGATATGTTAAATTTATGTTGCTCTTTCGGCGGACCTCGCTGTAATTAGATCAGATTGAAAACGGTTTATAGGCCTTCTTTTCCTTCCCCCCTTTTTTTTCTAGCGCCCGCGAGTGCACGCGCGGGGTCTGCACGCCTTACCTTCGCGTCGCGTTCCGACGGAATTTCCGCGGCGCGGCGTCCGCGCGGCCGCGGCGCGCCAACCTCCTGAACGGCGAAACATCGCTGTTTCGCCAACGCAGGCGGCGAGAGTGTTTCCTTTGAAACTCGAAATCTCTCCCCTCGTACGAAACTACGATACTATAGAAATATTTGGAGTTACGTGCAATGGAATTTCACCGCAGAAATTCCTGCGGACGCCGACCTGGATTCCGCCGACGACCTCGAAAACCTTCGACCGCCAAGCCAGAGGTCGGCGCTCAATTTCCACTTTGTATTTAACCGCGATTTTCATCGCGGTGCGGTGGGTGTGGTTTCACCCTCGGAAAGAACACTCGTCCCTCCAGCCGTTCTTTCGTTAAACTCGTACGATGGCGATTTGATCGTTTCTCCGCGGAAATCGCGAACGCGTCGGGAGGGGGAGACCGCGCGAAATTGGCGAAATTCGAGCGTCGGTTTCCAAGCGCCGGGCGCCGGTTTTTGCGATTAATTACACGTCCGAGGCCACTGTCGTCGAGAAGCCAGCGGAGCACGGCGGAAGCAGCTCGCTCAAACGTTACCGTGGAGGGTCCATAACGAGAGGTTTCCCTTCGAAAGCGGCTCGCATCGCTGACCGCCGGAACTGTTCATCAGCTACGTGATCGAATCATCCACGGACGCTGATCCTCAAAGCATCGATAATTCGATTAGCCGCTACACGTTCGAGAACCGCTAACCTGTCGACGAGTCGGTTATACGTATCCTCCTTGACCAAGCCGTTGCCCGCCGCTACGCTCTCGGTGGTCATTATCGTCGCGATGCTGGTATTACGGAAGCGCCATGGGGATTGCCTGCCGCCCCCTCATGCCGATCGCGGGGATTGCGGTTTATAAGGAGGGCGTCGTTCAAAAACCACGTAGCTTTGACCGTTCACTTCGAATTGGTCGATTCTCGACGGTTTATCTCGCGGCGCGATCGGGATCCCTTAATAAGGGCAATTTAGTAAATCGAGAAGCGAGAGGATTCTCCGAACCATCCTGGGAAAGACACTCGGAGACACAGTGCCCAACGAGATGATCAGGGAAATCTGCGATGTTCCAGACATCGTCGTGAATGGAACAGCAAGAGATGGGGAAACCAACATCCAGAAGACCCCCAGGAAGACCACCAAAGGGACGGATGGACAGCTAGACATTCGGATTACAAGAGACGAATTAATCGGAAAAAACAGGCTTCAAGCCTAATTTAAGAGGACGAAGAAGAAGCAGAAGAAGGGAAACGAGTCGCGCACCGAGAACTCTTCCCAATATAGTAAGAAACGCGTCTGTAGAGTCGAGAGTACGTAACGGTGGGGCGGGGGCGATCTGCTTATCGACGCAGCCGAGCAGTCTCGATGCAACTCTCTCAAGGCTCCGCCCCTGCAGCATCCATGACACTCCCAGCGTGCCACCCCCGGGTCTCTTGAAGAAATAGAAAGTACAGCGCGCTGCGCCTCGGTGTCTTGGAAACTCGACCCGCCGCTACCCCTTGCCTTCCCTCGGCCAATTTTCCGCGGCCCAGGAGATCCAAGAGATACCGTCGACGTTCTCGGAAGACAAGTCGGTTTTTGTCGTGGGGAGAAAAACCTATTTTAATTATAACCTTTTATTTCACGTAACCCGGTATAGTTTTAATAAATGTACCATCATCGTCCGCGTCCGTCCCGCTATTTTTCTCTCCTTGTCCGAGCCGCGGGGCGAAAATCCCTTACGTCAGGAAGCGCTTACCGAAATTTCCACTCGTCCGGGGGCACGAGAGCGGCGCGGTCGCGCTTTTGTCTTTAATAATGCTTCTGCAGCGGCGTTATCTCTTACTTTTAGAACGGGCGAGCGGCCGGGGCGCGGGCGTCCGGAGAGCCGGTCCATTAATTAGACGGGCCGCATTAAGCCGAGCATTAATATACTCCGCTGGCTGTTTTGTTTTATCCCGCAGGAAGGACGTAACCTACCCCGAAGGCTGACGGCGGGGGCGGCCGTGCCGGGATCTCCGGGTCGGGCGCGGGGCAGGGGACGAGGGGAATTATCCCGATGCGGGGGCAACCTGCTAATCCGACCTGCCACGCAACGCCAAGCCGCCGCCGCCGCCTTATCCCGGGGGGCTGTTTAAATTCCGTAAATCGCCCGCGAGAGCGCCTCTCGGCCCCGGGTGCCGACGGTTGCGCGCTGCCGACGGTGAACGGTCGCTCTCGAGAAATTAGGGAGATAAGATTCGAGCCGCGTGCCGTTAGTCACGTGCGAAAAACACGGGATGCCATCAGCAGAATTCTTCTACCCGGGAAGCGCCATCGCGCGTACGGAAATAATTAAACGTCTTATAATTATGCAGCATATTGAACTGGCCTGGATTGTTTTTTATTTCACGAGAATTGTTTTTTTTGCAAATCACTCCTGACGGATTCATTCTGATATAAATCGAAGGAATTACACGATTGTAAGAAATAATATTTATGGAACTTTCGTCGTCGATTTATGTAGCAATAAATCCCAAGGAATTTTATGCGAAATTTATTCGACAAAGAATTAATTTGATTTAAACGATAAATAAATTTCTGAGGCTCTAATATGGAATCACGGACACGAGCGAATACAGGATGTTAGCGTCTAAGGCCCGGTTTCAC